TGGACCCAGAACAGCAGCTTTACACACCCAAGATAGAGAACATTGCGACTGCTGTGATAGAGATGTACGGAGACATCTGAGGCTCTTCATTGAACACGACAACAACAGAATATTGACATGGACCCAGAACAGCAGCTTTACACACCCAAGATAGAGAACATTGCGACTGCTGTGATAGAGATGTACGGAGACATCTGAGGCTCTACCTTGGACACAACAACAACAGAAAATTGACATGGACCCAGAACAGCAGCTTTACACACCCAAGATAGAGAACGACTGCTGTGATAGAGATGTATGGAGATATCTGAGACTCTTCATTGGACACGACAATAACAGAACATTGACATGGATCCAGAACAGCAGCTTCAAAGGTTGGCAAATAAATATTCTATTCAATCCAATATATGCCTTTTTATTAGCTATATACAACACCCCCCCCCCCCCCCGGAAATTAGATATAATAAAAATAATCTCAAAAGAAACTCAATTCCTACGGTTTACTTTGATTTTAATTTGATATAAGTGATTAATTTATTGAATATTTCAGTCCAAACGTTTGTTGAAGAAGAGATATATCAGAAAGCTTGTGTTATAAAGAATTCGATAAAAGAAACATTTCTCCAAGTCTTCATGTTTTAATGAGATTTATCGTTTAGGTTTATTATGTCTGTAATAGTAAATGTTATCAAAATTCGAAACTATTATAGACGCGTATTTATTTTTTTTTAAATAAACAATTTCTACTGTCCTTACTGCAATGGAAAAATTAATGGGAGGGCCTGGCTCATCAGTGATGAACCCTCCCAGAGGTTTCGCCAGTTTAATCTACCATACCGCTGTTATATTGGATTTTTCGAACTTGCTTTTATAGTGATACTGATGCTAGACTCATAGAATCATACGCGTCTATAATAGTTACGAATTTTGATAAGAGATGGCGCGCTAATATATCATAATAGTAAATGTCTTCAATAAAAGTGATCCCATCCAGGTTAGTGTTAACCTGCTTTTATATTCAGAATGCTGTTGAGGTGTTATTCATGAGTAAGAACAAATGAACGCGTTTGTAGTGTAGACCCCTGGTGGGGTCAGCGACCAGACACATCCCAGAACTGTAGAGGTCGCTTGTTCCCACACTCTACTTGGTTGAGGAAATGCTTGGACATCAAATCTATCTCTAAACTTATAACTTGGAACTAATTTGAGGTATTTACCACTAAATTTCCACAAATATAGAAATATTCAAGTGAATCCAAGATATAAGAAATTTGGGATATACCTTTATTTAAAAAAAATGATAAGCCTTTCGTAATAAATTAGGAAAAAGGCATCTTCTAATCGTGCAAATAAAAGTTGCTGATGGCTTGCACCATCTGTCGGAATAAATATCAACTATTCGTTGATCAGGAGATGTATTTTTTCCACCTGATCCGAGTACAATTTTACTTTTGTACTATTTTTTCACTTTGGCAATAAGGTTACAGCCTATTCCACGCTGAAAGGCGTTCGTGGATGGCTTTTTCTTGATTTATCAAGAAATTGGGTTGGCCAAATATCACGGAGCAAGCTAAATAAACGTTTAGTTTATTTTTGCTCCACTAGATGGCGCTCTGCCATCTAAAAAGCACATGTGCTCGTGGTCAGGAAATGATTTCTTTATTTTTGAGTTTATTTTATTACAAAATATCGCGAGTTTTCGAGTTCTTTCTTTTCAACGGGGGAAATTACAACTGGGAGTGAATTGGGGGCTGAATTCGATTTACAAATTTGCATATAGGTCTTCCTTGAGGTCTGTGATGAGAGTGTCCCTACCCCTCGACCTGGCGGGAAGTTGGCGGGAAGGTGACATCAATAATTCACCGGGGGCAGATTGGTGACGTGACGAGGGATTATGTCCTCTCACGCCAGGACACCACTGGACCGAGAGTCCACAGTGTCAACTGAATATCCATTCATAGCTATACTCATGACAACTCTTGATTTACTCCTCGTCTCATATCTAAATCCAGTCAATCTCAATGGTAGACTGGTATCGTGGCATCCATATCAACATAACATCTAGCCTTGGTGTTCTTTGACCTTTCAAGACACCTTTCTGGGAATTCAATGATGCCATATTTACATAATACCTAACCGTAGTGTTCCTTTCTGAATTCAATGCTGTCATATCTATATAACACCTAGCCCTGGTGTTCTTTAACCTTTCAACACATATTTCTGAATTCATTACTGCCATATTTACATAAAACAGCCTTAGTTTTCTGAATTCAATGCTGTCCTATCTGCATAAAAAATAGCCTTGGTGTTCTTTGACCTTTCAAGGCACCTTCTTTCTGAATCAAATGCTGCCATATCTACATAATATCTCGCCTTAGTGTTCTTTGTCCTTTCAAGACATCTTTCTGTGAATTCAATGCTGTCATATTTACATAAAACCTAACTTTTGTTCTCTGTCCTTTCAATACATCTTTCTGTGAATTCAATGCTGTCATATTTACATAAAACAGCCTTAGTTTTTCCTTTCTGCATCCAATGTTGTCCTATCTACATAAAATCTAGCCTTAGTGTTCTCTGTCCATTCAAGACATCTTTCTGTGAATTCAACGCTGTCATATTTACATAAAACAGCCTTAGTTTTTCCTTTCTGAATCCAATGTTGTCCTATCTACATAAAATCTAGCCTTAGTGTTCTTTGTCCTTTCAAGACATCTTTCTGTGAATTCAATACTGTCATATTTATATAAAACAGCCTTAGTTTTCCTTTCTGAATCCAATGTTGTCCTATCTACATAAAATCTAGCCTTAGTGTTCTTTGTCCTTTCAAGACATCTTCTTTTTGAATGCAATGCTGTCATATTTACATAAAACAGCCTTAGTATTCCTTTCTGAATCCAATGTTGTCCTATCTACATAAAATCTAGCCTTAGTGTTCTCTGTCCTTTCAAGACACCTTCTTTTTGAATTCAATGTTGTCATATTTACATAAAACCTAACCTTTGTTCTTTGACCTTTCAAGACACCTTCTTTCGGAATTCATTGCTGTTATTATTAGTTATAACCAAGTCTTAATGTTTTTCGACCATATTAATAGTTTTATTTCCTCCGAATTCAAGCGATTTCAAAGGCAATCATAAACAGTATCAATATGGACATCTTTACATACAATCATTTGAAGTTATGGGAATGAACCAAGCACTGACTTCCAGATACATTTAGTTTTTTTTTCTTATCCCTAGTACACGTGGTACAAGCCATGATAATCATGGTGGGTAGAAGTAGGCGACTGCTTTTACTGTAAGTGCACCACATATCTACACATGTGAAAAGCAGCTCGACTTTGCACTTACAAATGTGCCAGAGCCTCGTGATATATTTAGTAAATGAATAAAGTTATTGTTAATTATATGTATAATATTTTGTTTTATTAATTTAATTCTGAAAAATGTTTTCTTTACACCGTCCATTTTATAGTCTTTTATAGGCATTGTAATTAACCATACTCCTCGGCTCTAAGGTCCGAAAGCTCGATTTAATTAAATTATAATTTTTGCAAGAAACTATTCTATGAATATTATCACTCAAATGATATATTGTGAATGTTGGAGTATTTCTTTATCTAATTGATTATAAACTGCCAACCTACAGTAACACATAACCCATAGTACAATTTAGAATAAAGTATGATAAATAGATTTTGTCACCCCCCTCTTTATTTCATTTGTTGGATCATGGAAAATCTCCAGTTATATAGTCAAGTGTCGCCAGTTTTTCAAGAAAATATACATTTGTTATAGGAAGAATCGTGTATTGATTTCAGCAGTGTTTTTCAAACATTTAATCTATTTCACATATTTATATTTTATTTTTCACATATTTATATATGAAAAAACAATAGAAAAAAATAAAAGCACATGTGCTCGTAGTCAGGAGATGCCTTCTTTATTTTTAATATTTATATATATATTTTTTTACATGTTTTAATTTGCATATACCTATTTTATAGTAACACATAACACAGGTGTTAAACCCAATCACATAGTACACATGTGTGTTCTGACCAAACCTAGTCGATAGTATAATGTGACTAATTATAGTGTATGTACATTACATGTTTAGGTATGTAAAACAACACTTGAAGTTTTACAATCACAGGCCGCAGTGTATTATATTGTATTATAAGTTACTTTATGTATTACTAGACGAATGGCCCGGGCAACGCCCGGGTTTTACCCGAGTGCGAATATATTTTGAAAACGTTGTATTGGGTGGTCGCTATAGACAGGGTGGTCTGTATAGACAGGTGTATGTATCACACAGCCGATAACAGGGTTGTCTAGGGTGGCCGCTATAGACAGGGTGGTCTGTATAGACAGGTGTATGTATCACACAGCCGATAACAGGGTTGTCTAGAGTGGCCGCTATAGACAGGGCGGTCTGTATAGACAGGTGTATGTATCACACTGCTGATAACAGGGTTGCCTAAGGTGACCGCTATAGACAGGGTGGTCTGTATAGACAGGTGAATGTAACACACTAATGATAACAGGGGTGCCTAAGGTGACCGCTATAGACAGGGTGGTCTGTATAGACAGGTGGATGTATCACACAGCTGATAACAGGGTTGTCTAGAGTGGCCGCTATAGACAGGTGTACGTATCACACAGCTGATAACAGGGTTTTCTAGAATGGCCGCTATATACAGGGTGGTCTGTATAGACAGGTGGATGTAAAACACTGCTGATTACAGGGTTGCATAAAGTGTCCGCTATAGACAGGGTGGTCTGTATAGACAGGTGGATGTAACACACTGCTGATAACAGGGTTGTCTAGAATGGCCGCTATAGACAGGTGTATGTATCACACAGCTGATAACAGGGTTGTCTAGAGGGGGGCAGGGAGGACACGTGTTCGCCGGCGGCAGCCAATGGGCGCGCATTCTATCCGTGAGCTTCAGAATAAGGCAATTATATAAGTAGATTTATGAACGGAAAAATACGTCCAGGGTTGCCTAGTGAACATGGCATCTGCCCGGTAAGCGGAACATTGTGGGTTCGATTCCCATCCCTGGACACTTTTATTTTTCCGTTCATCATTACTCTTCATAATTCACCCTTTCATACCTCATCCAAAAAGGTTAGAAATAGTCAATATTTCACCTTGAAATAAAATTTGAATTTTCATTGAAAAGAAACTCATGCGGTGTAACTTCATGTGTCGTTTTACAATCACAGGCCGCAGTGTATTATAATGTTTAGGTATTAAAAATGGCATATCCTGACCAGGAGCACATGTGCTTTACAGAAGGCAGAGCGCCATCATCATTTCGTTTTTTCATGTGCTAAGCGTATTTACGCAAATTTGGCCTTAAATACCCATTTCTTGGTTTTTCGGGAAGCCACTGGGACCAGAAAATCTTTTTTGGTCGCAGTGGTTCAGCCTACTCCACGCTGACGAGCGCCAAAAGCGCGAAACGCGTTCGTGGATGGCTTTTCTTGATTTATCAAGAAATTGGGTTGGCCAAATATCAGGGAACAGGCTAAATCAGTGTTTAGTTGATTTCTGTTCCACTAGATGACGCTCTGCCTTCTGTAAAGCATATGTGCTCCTGGTCAGGATATGCCTTTTTTAATATTGATTTCAACACCTGATCTTTTTATCTTTTATTTTTTTCTTTCGTTTTTTTCATGTTTAGGTATGTATCGAAAGATGGAAACCTCTCCCTTTAATTGAACATCAGAACTATGTATCACCCTAGTAAAAATACTAGTGATAATATGGAATAAGCCACAACACCAGTTCAGACAAAAAGCCAACAGATATACACCTATCCCCCGATTTACACGGTACTTGTTTTACACGTTTTCGCTTTTACACGGTTTTCCAAATATGTTTTTTTTTGTTTTTATCGCACTATACTAACGAAATACTATACGAAAATATTGTAGAGCAATTGCCATCTTCTTCTTCAACTGAAAAGAAGCCAAATTTTTTGGCAAGTCATGGCTGGTTTGAAAGATTTAAAATAAGACATTCTTTTTTTTTTTTATTTCGATTTACACCTTTTTCTCAGGAACGTATCTACCGTGTAAATCGGGGGATAGGTATACTTAATTAAAGGGAGAAGTACCTCTTTCGATACATAAATATCATCTTCTCGTAACTTTATAATGTAATCTTTCCTGAAAATCGGCTCTTGTCACTTCACCAGTTTAAACACATGTTTGGTAAATTCGACCAATTCCATAACCTCTCTAGTTGGATGTTATGAAATCGAAGCTGCCCCTGTACTGATGAAGGACAAAGCCCGAATCCATGGTATACAGGTTGTTGGCTTTTGTCTGAATTTGTCAAAACTGGTGTTGTGGCTCATTCTTTATCATTACTGGTAAAGGTTTTTTACTGGGGTGATGTAAAGTGCTATCGTTCTGATTCATATTTAAAGGGAGAGGTGCCTCTTTCGGTAAATGAATATCATCCTTCCGCAACTTTATAATGTCTATATACACTGAGTGACATTGAAAATGGAACATCAAGAAATAGTGGCCAGAAAATTATGCAAATTTCAGGGTAGACGTGCCTAACCGAGTTATGCAAATGATGTAAAATGCGCAGCTCTCGTGCGCACATGGAGTAAGGTATAAGGGGAGGAACTTGCAGAAAGGACAGTATTCGTGTCGTTATTTCTTCAAGGAAAATCATTGTAGAAATTTTGTTCTTGTGTCAATAGACACGTGTAATAACAGAGAATGCCAGGTCATCGTAAACGGATGCAGTTCAAGCAGACAGACGCTTTTACGAGGGGCATGGTGATCGGACTGAAAAGGGCAGGTTGGTCCATACGTCAAATCGCAGCTGATACACACCTTGGTGCGTCCACGGTGCACCGACTGTGGAGAAGATGGTTGGAACAAGGAAATGTGGCAATTTATAGGAATGTCGGTGCAACCAGAGTGACGTCAGCACGTGTGGATCGGTGTATCCTTCGACAAGCAGTGGCGGCCCAACAAGCCACTTGTACCGCCATCCTGCAACATGTGCAAGACACCCTAGATCATTCCATCTCGACCAGAACCATTTCCCGTCGATTGGTTGCTAATGGCCTGCACTCATGCCGTCCGCTAAGAAGACTGCCATTGACCCCACCGAATAGGCGCCAACGTTTGGAATGGTGCCGGGCTAGATCGACGTGGATGACGGAATGGCACAGGGTCGTGTTCTCAGATGAGTCGCGTTTCTGCTTGTCCAGTGATAGTCGCCGTGTACGCGTGTGGCGTCGACGTGTAGAAAGGTCCAATCCGGCAGCAATTGTGGAACGCCCCACCGTGCGACAACGTGGAATCATGGTTTGGGGCGCAATCGCGTATGATTCCAGGTCACCTTTACTTCGTATTCAGGGCACTATGACGGCCCAACGATACGTTGATGATGTGCTGCGACCGGTGACACTCCCCTACCTTCAGGGGGTACCCAATGCCCTTTATCAGCAGGATAACGCCCAACCGCACACTGCTCGCATTAGCCAACAAGCTCTGCAAGATGTACAGATGCTTCCCTGGCCACCGTACTCTCCTGATCTCTCACCAATCGAGCACGTCTGGGACATCATTGGACGTCGTTTGCATGCCTTGCCACAGCCGCGTTCAGAAGACGAACTGTGGCAAATGGTTGAGAGGGAATGGAGAGCCATCCCTCAGGACGCCATCCGTACTCTGATTGACACTCTACCTAGACGTGTTGCTGCGTGCATCGCCGTCCGCGGTGGTCCTACTTGCTACTAAGCCGACGCCGTTCTCGCTCTGTATTATGACTATCATTTTGAAATAAAGATCACTTATTGTTCGTCCCTGTCTCTCTCTGTCTGCCGAGTTTCATCACTTTCTGGCCACTATTTCTTGGTGTTCTATTTTCAATGTCACGCAGTGTATTAACACAAAGCAATAACTCGCCATCTATATACATATAAAATGAAAGGATTTAAAAGCACGAATATTTTTTTATACATAATACAAACTTCTACTGCCCTTACTGCGATAAAAAAATATATAATGGGAGGGCTTGGCTCATCAATGTCTATATAGTTGAAAGAAACTTGACTCTGCATTTACCAGATGACAGAACCCATTTTGATTGATCGCATTTAACTGTTAGGACTACCAGAGTTGTGTAAGGCTATTAAAGCAAACGTCAAACGTTGTAACTCCAGAATTGTCCTCGTTGTCGGGACTCCATGTCAACATGCCATCTGTGTCCGTCTAAATGTATTTTAATGACAACTGGGATTTTGATGATGGGAGAATAAAGAGCTATTTAGAGAATGTTCATTATATATTATATGTCTTTATATGTAGGCATATATACACTCGTTAATTTATATGTAGAAAGTGAAGATTAGAACGCGGCTGATTCCACACTCGTCTTTTCAGTGATATGCTAACCTTGACGTATGTACGGTGAAATCTGTGGCTACTGGATATGTGTCGGACCTGGAGGCTGTTGTTGGGCTCTGTGCTTGCCTGGAGTATAGGAGCTCCATCTATGCTTCCTTCCTGTGGTGAATCTGTATAAGACCGATGGTCTTGATAAAACTGTGTATCAATATTAAAATGGCATATCCTGACCAGGAGCACATGTGCTTTACAGAAGGCAGAGCGCCATCTGGTGGAACAGAAATCAACTAAACATTGATTTAGCCTGTTCCCTGATATTTGGCCAACCCAATTTCTTGATAAATCAAGAAAAGCCATCCACGAACGCGTTTCGCGCTTTTGGCGCTCGTCAGCGTGGAGTAGGCTGAACCATTGCAACCAAAAAAGATTTTTTGGTCCCAGTGGCTTCCCGAAAAACCAAGAAATGGGTATTTAAGGCCAAACACGCGTAAATACGCTTAGCACATTGAAAAACGAAAGAAAAAAGATAAAAAGATCAGGTGTTGAAATCAATATTAAAAATCACCAGGAGAAAAAACTGTGTATGTGAATATACCAAATATTTGTGGCCACTGGACATTGTCGGATCTGGAAGCTGTTGTTGGGTTCTGTGTTGTCTGGAGTATAGGAGCTCCATCTATGTTTCTTTCCTGTGGTGAATCTGTATAAGACCGGTTATATTAATAAATCTCCTCCGAAATCTTTCTAATAATGACAAAAGGTTGTGTGAAATTATGACTCACTCCATTGTTATTGCTAAAATCTACAATCATCTAGATAGCGAAGATTTGCCCATAGGCGATATAACAGCCAAAGTGGATTTTTAGAGATATGATTATTGCTAGTTGGAAACTTTCCTCATTACCCCGCCTTTCTTGATCATGGAGGCAAGGCAATGAAGAGATTTACTGGATGAAATGATGTTCCATGATGACGGTTGAGCCACATGTTGATGGGATAAAGAGATGGGAACAGCCACAAGTGTCAATTGAATATTCCCTGTTGGTTGTTGCATTCAACTTGGCACATTTCCCAGAACTTACCCTTGAAGACCGCAATCTGCCAACTCGAGTAACATTTGTCCTATTGTTTCAGTTCCAATGGCTTCAACTGAAGTCGCAACTTTTTTTTCTTTCGGGGAATGGCAGAACGATTTTGTTCACGATTTATAAATATATACAGCATCAAGTTGCGTAAGAATGGTATTTATGTACCAAAGGTGTGTGTGTGGAACCTTTATCTCTTTAATACTACAACAACAACGAAAAGCTTTATTAAGACATTTTAGTCTTATACGGATTCTCCAAGCACGGAAATGTAGGGTACATGCAAGAATAACAGTAACAACAAAAGTCCCTGTTATGATCCTTTGGTCTTATACAACTTCTCCACGTAGAAGAGGGTATATACAGGAACAATAGTTACAATAATGAGCAATGTTCTTTGCGTCATCTGCTGAGAGATTGAACGCAGAGTGGATTTCCTCAGCTCTCTCCCCCATAAGATATATCAATGCTGTGATCTGATATTCCTGTTCCTTGGCGTTCAAGTTGGAGAGAAATCTGTATCGAGAAAATCGCTGTTTCCAGCTTGGCCAATCCTTGGCGTCGAAACTGAAGTTAGGAGGCGGAGAGAAAGAGCTTG